ACTTCTGCCAGTTTCTTCACCACCCTCAGTCTGTTCTCCTGTCTCTAACATAGCCAGTGAGAAAGTCTTCCTTTTACAAGGTTCTCTAGTCTCCCCCTGTCAGGTGACTCTCCTCAGTGACTTCAGGTGATCTGTTGCTTGGTTACAAGCTCACTGAGTTTTATGGTTGGGGCAGAAACTAGCTTATTATCTTCGGGTGCTTGCTTTTGAATGAGAAATGCTACAGGTAAAGGAGCCTGGATTTCACTGTATTGTTAGCCTTCTCTCAGATACAAGATTTTCTCCGGACCACCTCCCTGGAGGTTTCAGCACAAGATAAAGGATAAAAGGCAAAAGTATAGGTGCATTGCTCTTACTATCAAAATGGCACTCAAAACAAAAGTTTGAGATAGATACATACTGACTTACACTAATCTGTCACAGTCCTTTTTACTACTGTGGATTGTCCTTGCTCAGATAAAGTCACTGGTATTATATTGGAGAGTAGCATTTATTTCTTGGTCATTCGAGGCTCCTGAATGTTGTGAAAGGGAACAAAAGGTTTTGGCCACATGGAAGGCAAGTGGGGTTGCAATTTGAGAACAGCTTAGCAAGCAGGGGTGCTCCCACCACAAAGTGTCCTCTTTGCAATAAACCAACATATTTTTCCCTGAAACCTACCCACCATTTGCTTTAAACATGCCAGTTTCTCTCTTTGATGTATTATTCTTAAGCATTTTGCATTAGTGCCCAGAGACGACAAATCAGAATCAAACTCCCTCGTACTAAGTTTTGTACAAACATATTGTAAGACAAAGTCCCTGCCCCTAGAAGCATACAGTCTAAGACTTACTAGTATCTACTATACAGAGAAGACAGCTTTAAATTAGAAGTAGAACAGATCTTTCTCTACCAGTTGGAAAGGAATTGGGATGATAGTTGAAATATGGTCAAATACATCAAATGCAAGAAAATTGCAATCAACAGTGTTGTATCCTGCAAACCTTTCATCTAACACAGAGTTCCTAAACATTTTCATGGTTTAGTTTTCTCATAGAAATATATGGTTTGTGGATATAGAATCTGTGAAGGAATTTTCTTCTTTTTAGTTAAAAAACAGCATGTATTCTCTCCACCCTCCTCCATCTAAAGATAAAGCACTTTGATACAAAAAGAGTATTTTATGATACAATACATGCCTAGCTAGAAATTAAAATGCTCAGTTTTGAAGCTTTTTTACAAATTAGGAATGGTGATTTTTTGACATATTTCAAAAAGAAACTTAAATTACCACATTGAGCCTGATCCAAAGTACACTGAAGTGATGGAGAAAATTCCACTAACATCTACTCACTGTTGACCACACTTATATGCACTTCACAATTAAAAGTAAAGTATATAGGGATATATTATCCACTAGTTCCCCATACATGTACCTCATGTATGAGCAGATCTCCAGGTGATATAAATGGGTGTTTGTTTGTGGAATGAAGACTATCACCTGACTTGTATATATAAACATTTTTGACGCAAAGTACTTGCACAATTGTGATGACAGTTAACACAAGAGCTCATGAGAGTTAATGTGATCTCTCAACACCGTTTTGCTTTATCAAAAAAATTTCCTGCTACCTCACAATAAATGTTTTATTAGAGCTCAGCTGGTAACCACCATTATTTTATTGTCACCCTTGTGTACATATACAGACAGATGCCAGAAAAATACAAGTTCTTCAGCGTACCAAATCCCATTCTCTTTCAACATAATATACAAACTTTGAGTCTGATTCCTAGGGGGCTGAACTCAGTGAGAATTATGGGAGATCAGAACATTGCAAGATCAGCCCATAGATGTACTATATATTGAATATCTTGTGCTTAAAGGGAGTTACCTGGTGAAATAATGTCAATGTTAAGAATTCCTTGCCTTTATAGTTGTGTAATTCTCATTTCTTTTGAATATTTTGACTTATCTCAAGCCTTCTTCTGATTTTTTTTCTTTTCTTTTTCCCTGCTGAATTATCTAGCTTGTTCAGGCTGAAGGACCCTCTATTTATAATTCTCACACTTAAGGTTTTAGTTCCAGAGGGATTTTTCAGTGGAAAAATCATAAATAGAGGGTCCTTCAGTTTGAACAAATGGATTGATAATTCAGTAAACAAGCTGAACAAAACGAGAGAGAGAGAGAGATTCAAAACATCTAGCAGAAACAACAGCTTAGCAATGAATGCGATAAGAATCATTCAGCAATATATGTAGTCACGATCTGAGTGGTTAGTGCACTTAGATCTTGGTAATTTCTTTTAGGAGAGAAAATGAGTAGACAGCAGACAGCGAATTATTAAATTATCCTATTACACTTTTATTTAGAAATGTACAATTCCTGCAGACAGACTTTGAACAAAATGGCTTTTAACAGCAAAAGCAGCACAACTCAAACTCATATATTGGCGACCAGCAAAGATTTTTTTCCACCATCCGCTCTTGGAAAATCATGTCTCTCTTGCCCAGCCCAGCCCCCACACCTTTTCTGTTACAGCATTCAGTGTCCAGCCCAAAAGATTTCCATACAGGCAGTAATTCTGTCTCCAAAACCCTCTGGGTGAAGTCTTGTCCCCAGTTAAATCAATGGGTAAACTCCATGGACTTTAATGGACCCAGGATATCACCCTCCTTTTAATTTCTTTTTGTCTAAAGTTGGCCACCTGGCTCCAGATGGTCTGAAATGAGTCTTTCAGGATGGATTCTCCTGAGCTATTCAGCAGAGCAGGTCCCCATTCCTGCTGGGACTGGAGTCATCAAGTCTACGGTCACTTTGCCAACACAAAAGGGAAGCTACTTACCAACTAATGGCCCATCTGGTATTCACTCATTGCCTTCAAATTCCCTATTGCTGGCTTGTTGACACTTACAGTACTAAAAAATTACACACACCCTCTTTAAAAAAATTGGCACTTCTAATTCTTATGAACTAGTATTGCTTTATTGCAAGAGTGCCTTTGTTCTCCTGTGAGGAATAGTTTTAGTCTTCTTAAAAAAAAATTGGGATTTCTTTACATCATTGCTATTTCTGTACATAAACACTTGCATCACTTCCATCCATATACAATACCAGGTGGGCTGCCAGCTGTTTGTGGTGTTAGCAAAGTGATCTTAGGTGTGATGGCTTCAAAGCAGGCTGGGATGGGGGTCTTCTGCTCAGAAGAATCAATCCTAATACACAAGTTTCAGGGCTTGTCTACACATGATAGTTAATCTGGAATAAAGTGGCACCCTGTGGAAAAAAATCACAATTTCATGGACTGTGTGGAAATCATGAAATTAGCCCAATACCATGAATTTTCCAACAGCAGGGAGGCAGAAATGGTCATCTGGGTGCAGCAGTCTCATGCTCTGTGTGGACCACAGTGCACAGCAGTGTCGTGTCGGAGCAGCAGTTCGGGGGCGGGGAAGCTGATTTTATGTGAGACACGGTAACTAGCGCTGCTGCCACTTGGAACACAAGGAGCTGTGGCCTCGGGCAGAAGCTGGCTCCCACGCGCACTGGTCTTGTGCAGCTCGCAGCGTGCGTTCCAAGCAGGGGCACTGCTGGCTACAGCACCTTGCATAATAGCGGCTGCTGAGTCCCCCTCAAACTGCTGCTCCAACATGACGTTGCCGTGTGCTATGAGCCGCACTGAGCATGAGATTCCTGTTTCTGCCTCTCCACCGAGCCCGCTGCTGCCTGTGCTCCAAGCAGGGGCGACGCTGGCTAGTATGCCTCACATAAATTTGGCTGCCAAGCATCCCCCGAAACTGAAGGCCCTACGTGATGCTGCCACCACCACACACTACAAGCCACACCTAGCACAAGGCCAGGATGCACAACACCCACTTCCACCTCCCCACTGCTGAAAACAATTGCAGCAAGTCAGAGTAAACTTGGCAGTCGTGCATATTCCATGAAATTTGATCCTTAATGGTATTGCCATGAAGTCTCAAAACAACAACAACAAAAAACACCTGCAATTTTCACTAGGCTTTAAAGTCATCCTCCCTTATTCCTAAAGTGGATTAACTAGTCCTGATGAACTCCATACGTAGATATTCTCTTCTTCTGAAATAAGAGTAAGAGTGGAGCAAATTGATACGTTAAACAGTAATAAGTCCCCAAGAACTGATAGTATTCCTGCAAGAATTCTGAAGGAACTCAAATATGAAATTGTAGAAATTGTGGTATGTAACCTATTACTTATATCAGCATCTGTACCAGATGACTGGAGGATAGCTAAAGTAATGCTGATTTTTAAAAAGGGCTCCAGAGGTATTCCTGGCAATTACAGGCTGGTAAGCCTGACTTCAGTACCAGGCAAATTGAATGAAACTATAATAAAGAACAGAACGATTAGACACACAGATGAATACAATTTGTTGGGGGAAGAGTCAACATGGCTTTATGTAAAGGGAAATCATGCCTCACCAATCTATTAGAATTATTTGAAAGGGTTAACAAACATGTGGATAAGGGTGACCCAGTGGATATTGTGTATTTCCAGAAAGCCTTTGACAAGGTCCCTCACCAAAGGCTCTTAAGCAAAGTAAGCAGTCATGGGATAAGAGGGAAGGTTCTCTCATGGATCAGTAACTAGTTAAAAGACAGGAAACAAAGGGTCGGAATAAATAGCCAATTTTCATAACAGAGAGAGGTAAATAGTGGTGTCTCCCAGGGGTCTGTACTGGGACCAGTGCTGTTCAACTTGTTCATAAGTGATCTGGAAAAAGGGGTGAACCGTGAGATGGCAAAGTTGGCAGACAACACTCAATTACTCAAGATAGTTAAGTCCAGAGCAGACTGTGAAGAGTTACAAAGGGATCTCATAAAATTGGGTGACTGGGCAACAAAATGGCAGATGAAATTCAATGTGGATAAATGCACAGGAAAAAAATAATCCCAACGATCCATACAAAATGATGGGTTTCCCAGAGTGGAATCTGTAAAACTATTATAGACTAAAACAATAATATAACTTGAATATTTACAGGAGAAGAGAAGGATCAGCCTGGACACTGGAGGATTCTGACTTAGGCCATGCAGCAATAAGAAGGAATTGGAGAAGCAGTCAGTCCACCCTGCCATTTACACTGTCCGTGCAGCACAGGAGGAGAGCAGGGGTGCAGACGCAGACAAATGGACCCCACTTGCAAGAATTCTCCAGTCTCAGGTGCATGGAGTGCATGGTTACCCACAGGGGAATACACACAGAGACCCACACCCAAAGAAGAAATAAAATGTTTCTATAGATCTGTACTGTGAATTGAAGCTCTCATTGTTATTGACATACAAGATTCTGAGGCACATCAGCAACAGGAAATAGAGCAGCTCTGTAATGCAGATCAGATACGGAAGGCAATTTTGAGAATCAGGAATGGGAGCAAAAGCTCAAATGAGTTCTTAGAAAATAAGGGGATGAAAAGGTTGTAGGTGGCTGTATTTCAGCTGTTTTCATGGAACATAAACCTAGAAAGGTACTTTTTGGTTACTAAATTTTAACCCAGCCTTGATTCACATGGATTTAGAAGTTCAGCAAAAATTTTCTTCCCCATTTTGACATCTTAATTTAGATGCAGAGAGATAAGACATAGAGATGCTGATAAGATCAAAAAGGGAAATCACTTGCCAATTGTTCCTGACATAAGCAGTCAAATCTATGTTTGTACAGAGGACCCCTAACACAGCAAAACATGTTTGTAGTTCAGAAGTTTAGAACCTAAGCTCTGGTTTTAAGTCTGAGAGTGGTACAATTAGATATGACTTTTTTTAAGCAAAGTAGAAAAGCGTTGCTGGTCTGCTCTCCTTTTATACTGGGGCTTTCAGCATGCTCATCTTAGAGGTACCAGTATCTATTCTAACTATTGACAAAGAAACACCTACATACAACATAAAATGAACTAGATTTAAAAAATACCTATTTTTACATTTTATATCGGATCTGGGATCAAAAACCATAAGGGCCAATTTAAATCTGAGGATCTGAATCTAATGAATACACCAATCCTGAAACTGGGGAGGGAATGGATTAGTAGTCCTAGTATGAGTCTACCTTTAGTTAGAACATGTGGTCCATATTCTTAGTTCCCTGAGGTTTGTGTATTTCATATATTTTACTGTATGCTGCATTGATGACCCTCTTAAAGCCATTGCTATTTTGGTTTCTGAAGATGTTTAAAATAGTTTCACTGTTCCTTAAGAGTAAGGTAGTCAGATATATACTGTGATGCTGGCAGACCAGGCTATGGGCCTGAGCCAAGCACTTACAAATTCATTGCTGGAAACCAGTTTCTTTTGCTTATGTGTCAGTATGCGTAAAATGGGTACTGGATTTATAACAATGTGTTTAGACTTTATGAAATGGTTGTAAATTGCTGCATGAATTAATCTCAAATTATATTTTTATCACATGCTGTAAGGTAATATTTAAGTTTTTGTTTTCTACGTGTAAAAAAAAAAAAAAAGTGTTCTCTGAAACTGTGAACCCAGTCAGGAGGGATTCTCCTGTCCATCAAAAAGGCCTATCAAAACTAAATGGGCCATTGTGGGACATTACAATACAAAGGCTTTGTTAATTGCCCCTTACACCCATGAAGAGGCTATATGCAAAAGGATTCATTGTGGAAGAAAGAAATAAAGATAGCTGGCAATCTTTTGTTGTTTGGACTCTCACAGGGCCGGAGCTATGAAACAGAACCAGAGATCCCCAGGATCAGCCTTGGTTAGCCCTAAAAGACATTCAGAACTGACAAATTACTACAACTCTGTCACCTTTTGGAACCATAGACTAACTCATTTGTGTATAAAGAAAAGGAGTACTTGTGGCACCTTAGAGACTAACAAATTTATTTGAGCATAAGCTTTCGTGAGCTACAGCTCACTTCATCGGATGCTTATGCGCAAATAAATTTGTTAGTCTCTAAGGTGCCACAAGTACTCCTTTTCTTTTTGCGGATACAGACTAACACGGCTGCTACTCTGCAACCTGTCATTTGTGTATATATGCTTGCTTGCTTTAACCTTGTAATAACTCTCATTTCTTTTCTTAGTTAATAAATCTTAGATAGTTTCCTATAGGATTGGCTACAAAAGTGTTGTCTTTGGTATGAGAACTAAGGTAAAAATTGACCTGGGTAAGTGACTGGTCTCTTGGGACTGGGAGCAACCTGAATATTTTGTCATCTTTGATGTATAGCAACCATCAATCACTAAATCCAGCTTGCCTGGGTGGCAGTATAGACTGGAATGTCCAAGGGGACTGTCCGTGACTCCATGGTTAGACTGTTATAGTGCTTTAGGAGTTCACACTTGTTACTGGGTTGGTGAAATCTAATTATAGAACATACAACCAGTTTGGGATCTCTGCCCTGCTTTTTGGCAGTCTGCCCTGAGGTTGGCACTCAGGACTGTGAGCAACTCCAGACAGCATGACACATTCAATCACTTATGAACATTTTTCCACCTGGTGGCAACATTCTGCTTATGTGTACTTCTCAAAACTCACAAGGAGGCTATTAAAGCAAACGTTTGTGTGACTCAGACCTGTTTATTCTTTCAATGTGTTTAATGGTCCAAAAGTTGACAGCATGAGACATTTAACTTCTCTTTCTGATGACACAGAAAAGCAGCAATGCAAATTACCCCAAAGTACCTCACTGAAATGTCTCAACCCTGACTTGCAGGGACCACCTGTAAGCATGTCCATGCCGAGGCCTGTCTACCAAATCTGAAAAAGGGTACCAGTTAGATAATATAATGTGGATGCATCCACTGTGAACTGGACTGAGAGTGGCAATTGTTTGAAGATGGGTTACTGACAATGTCTGTAGCTCGCTAGTGAGCTGGGCTGGCCAGCCTCAAAGCAGCAGCCTAAAGACACTATCTCCCATTATTAACCCTCTGAACAAGTCTCCCAAGAATTTTCATTTGCTGTTGTTAGTGACGGTGCCATTGACAAGTATAAATATAATACATATTTGGAAAAGACCGTTTTACATAAATATCAATATTGTTCCTTTCCCCCGCCACTTTTGGTATGGTAAATTCTAGGAATGAAGGTGTAGGGGTGTGAGGGGGTGGAAAATAGATATAAAGCACCTGATCACATAAGAAAAATTGCATGATGCTGCCTGTTCTTGGTTAGACCCTTTCTGGCATGGTACTATGAATCAACCGACCCTTTTACTTCCACACTTACATAGATCCACTATGAAAGAAATCCCAGGGCTGTTTCATCTCACTTGCCTTATAATATTTATATGCTGCCATTTGGACAGAGACCAGATGTGATGGATTAATTACTAATAAATCAGATGGCAGAGAACACAAAATACCATCAGTTTAAAGAGGCAGCATTAAGAATTCTGATACATGTAACAACATTTTCCTGTTTTTCAGTAAAAGTGTTTCTCTTTCCCAATGGTGACTATCTTTCCCCTGTGCCCTGCACCTCAAGGACACCTGGATGGCAATGACTTAAGTGACAATATATGGATAAATGCATTTATGGTTTGCTTAGGTTTGCTAGAAACAAAGATGAGTAATATTCTTCAATTTGGAGAGATGGCACTAGGTTCCACCAGTATCTTTTTACTAAGACTGTTGAAGTGGGAGTTCTTGCAGTCCTTAGTCTCTTGCTACTAGCCTAGAAATCCCACAAATAAAACAGCAACAAAAATTTAGCACTGTTGGTCCAGTCACATCCTTCTTTGACAGCATTCCCACTTCCCTGACATCTATTTTCTGATGGCAGGATGCAGACTCCTACAACTTCCACAAGGAATCTAGGCGTCAGTAACTCCCTCATTATTATTTGCGAAACTTCTGGCCACTGTTACTGAATTCATATACCATAATAATTATAACAATTTTTAGAATGTAAATATAAAACCGTGTTCTGATGAACCCCTCAAAATTAAGGAAGTTAAAAAATAAATAGGAAATATGGGCACTGATTCAATTCCTGATTTCAAAAAAGGATGAGACCATCACTATGCATTCATGCCTTGTTGAGTAACCTTGTGATCTTATTGTCGCCCTTGTCCTTAGTACCAACTTCTTGTCAGTTTATGACTCACTTGCTTTGTCATGTAGAATTTAGACTTTGGGTCAAAGTCTATGTTTTTACTTGATTCTGTTAGATAGTTAGCACACAGCTGGACCCCGGAAAGATAGTAACTACTGTAATAATCTCATGCCAATTTTACTCCAGTCTAAGTATTACCTTCAGTGAATAAACTCATGATTTACATCAGATTAATACCCTGTTTTTCACTTGTCTCACTAGGGCCCCAGGTGTTGCACAGGCTTTAATCATAAAAGTTCATTTCCAGACCATAGTAATTAGATCAGTCCACAACATCGTTGTACCATACACACTGTAATACTACTCTGGCAGAAAAGAATAAGTTAAGGATAAAGTGACAACATAGTCTAGTCTTCAGTGCCACGTAAGGGAATTTTGCTTTGTGTTGGGGGCGCTGTGTTTTGTTTTTGATGGCTTAATTTCCATTGGGAAACTATGTAGTCATCTTCTTAAAGTGGGAAAAATTAGACATGTTGTATTGTATTAATAACCTTATTTAATTTCAAAGATTAATAATACAATTCAAACAGCAACCACCATATACAGAATCAAAACTGTACAGCCATTCATTGCTTAACTCAGTAGTGTCATCTTCAAAAAAATCAGAAGAATCACTGAGTTTCAAAGATGCAAAACCCCTTGTTATTACAGAACTCTTAGAAAAACCAGCTATTTGCTTATACACATTGATTTTTAAATGAAATACACTGGTTGTATGAAAAGAATTTTAATGCAAGTGTGTAGCGTTCATGCACTTGGCAACATTCAGAGCACACCCGAAGTGTTGTGTAGGAGCAGTGCACACATGGCTCCTCTCAAGGGCATGAACCTTGGAATCTCGCCCAGATGACATGAACTGTGGGAAGCCTCCCAGGACTGGGCTCAAGGCCCGAGAGCAAGGAATGCGGTCGATAGATATTGGTAAATAAGAATATTAAACAAAGCCAGTGTATTCCTTTTATCTGTTGGAGTATGTAATGCGCGGGGGAGAGAAAGAATAAAAGAGAGGGTGGAAAGCTGACAGGAGACCAGCCGTCAGCAGACCAGTCTGCTTGCTTGCTTAAAGCCTTGTTCTGTCTTGTATTTGAACTGCAACAACTGGCGCCCAAACGTGGGGCCCTCAGCACTCACCTCACCCGGCAAGGGTTTCAGACGCGTCACTCATCCGCTTCACGGATCCCGGTGAGTATTTTTCATTGTGGTAAGTATGGGAAGCTCCCTCTCTGCTTTGCAAGTTCAACACCGCAATGAATGGGGGGGAGGGATAGCTCAGTGGTTTGAGCATTGGCCTGCTAAACCCAGGGTTGTGAGTTCAATCCTTGAGGGGGCCGTTTAGGGATCTGGAGCAAAAATTGGGGATTGGTCCTGCTTCAAGCAGGGGGTTGGACTAGATGACCTCCTGAGGTCCCTTCCAACCCTAACCTTCTATGAATCTATGAGCTACAATATTTGCTGCATAAAGCTCAGTATGATTGCCCCACTCGAGAACTCACTCTCCTGCTACAGGACGTGAGTGCCCAATGCCCTTGGTACCCTGAAGCCGGAACCCTTAAGCTAGCGGACTGGGAGCGGTCGGGCCAGACATTGCACAAAGAGCCTCGAGTGCCCATGCAGGCTTTACATGCCTGGCACCTCTGCCGCAACGCGATACAGCGTGTCGCCTCGGAAAGGCCCTCCCTCGCACCAATAGAGAGGCTGCCGATCTCGCCACCCCCGTCTGCTCCTGCAGCCATCCCTCCCCCTGCTTCGCCCCCAGTGCCTCAATTACTGCCACCTCCTTTGTCTTCCCCTCTGGAACCGGTGAGTGGTCACCATCCCCCCGTGGGGCCCCATGCTCCGGGGCCCCCCGGCGGGTCATCCGCGTCTGCTCAGGGGCTTTCGCTGGTGCAACAAATGCTTCACGCGGTGAAGACTCGCCCAGATCTTACAGCAGAAGAATTAGCTGATCTGGTCTCAGTTTGCCCGGTGACCTGGCAGGATGATGGCCAGGGCAACCAGCTTGCAAACTGGGTCAGTTTGCCTTACTCGGTGATCAGAGACATAAAGAAAGCAATTCGCGAGTTCGGCCTCACTAGCACGTATGTATGTGGTCTCCTTGAAGGGCTAGGTACTGGGTACACCCTGGTCCCTGAAGATTGGAAGGCGCTGTTGCGCATGATGCTGACGCCCAGTCAGTATGTTATTTGGCTTAGTGAGTATCGGCAGATGGTGGAACGCCAAGCCCAGGTATATATAGCGCAAGGTGTCACTTATGAGCAGTTAGCAGGTGAGGGCCCGTTTGCTACCGTTCAGATGCAGTCTCAACTCCAGCAGGCTGTCTTCCCCATTATTTCTGCCTGCGCTCAGCATGCTTTCCGGAAGGTCCCGGATTCAGGCAAGCCTACCAAAAGCTTTGCCAGTATCCGTCAGGGTGCATCAGAGTCCTTTATGGATTTTACCAACAGATTGCAGGAGGCTATCCTCCAACAGGTGGATAACCCTGCGGCAGCTCAGGAGATTCTGTTAAAAATGGCGGTTGAAAATGCGAACGAGGATTGCCGCCGTGCTCTCCAGGTGGCACAAGCCGCTGGCATTCTAGAGCTGTCGGACATGCTGCGGGCGTGCCAAAACATCGGCACACAAGCACATAAAGCTGGGGTTCTGGCCTCCGCCCTGCGGAAAAGCAGGAAGGAAGGGAAGTGTTGTTATCGCTGTGGTAAGGAGGGTCACTTTCAGCGGGAGTGCCGCTCATCGACGGCACCCGCCTGCCCCTCAAAGAAGTGC